ATATGATACTGTCTCTTGTTTATGCACCTTCCTTCCCAAAGGTGAATTCACTGACATATCATCAATGGATACTTTTGTTCTTTTCTAGTAGTAGCCATGAGTGTGTCAAGCCATCCACGTAAAGAATTACTGGTTCATACTGAGGACTTCTATGTTCATTTCATCTGACATGAATAGCAGGACCAACTGGCCTATCTAAGTATCAAATTTGGCTTCAATATTGCTGTGCCTTTGTCACGTGATCTAACTATGGGCCTATATGATTGAGCGGGACTATTAATACATGATCCAAGAAGAGAAAGGCCTAATTTTTAACATGTCAAAGTCCCTTAAATGCTATTTATGACATGTCTTTAACAAAGTTAAACTTACTTTTTTGATTGCAAATTATTTTATTTTAGGTGTAAACAAATTTATTTTCAAAAAGTTAATTTACCAAATTACCAGCAGAGAGCAGGACCCAGAGCAAATGAGACAGACAAGTAAATGCTGATGGAGGAAAGAAATGAGAAGCATGGAGCATGAGAAGGCTGATGGGGACACAGTGCGGGACCACGGACAGAGGGCACAATCTGAGCTTGGGGCTGGGAACATTATCACCTGGGTAGGAAGGATCCTGGAACTGGGTGAAATGCCACCTGGGGAGAGGTGGAGTAATGCCAAAGGCTAGTAGGTAGCTACTTAACAACATTGCCTAATTCCAGATATCTATCCATGAATTACTTGATTTTTTTCCCACTTTTCATCCGAATGTACTACATTATGTAAAATCATGATATTTTACCCACTCTCTGTTGTGCAAGATAATCTTCGGGAGGGAGGGGGACATACGGGGATGGGATAGGATGAAAGGAATCTTTATGTATAATGAGTCAGAGTGTGAAAAATAGCCGTTTTTATTTTATTACTTTGTTGAGTCTGTAAATATATATTTTAATCATTGAGGTGACAAAAAAATCTTTTGGATTTCAAGTGAAAACATTTCAGCAATATTTTGATTGGGGTATTATGGTTTTCAGATGTATAAAGAGAAATAATGTAGATAGAACCATAGCTTTATACCTCAATGTGTTTTAAAATACTGAAAGATAAAATTAATTAAATGATCATTTGAACAGAAACTAATCAAAATATTAATATTACAAATCAAACAAGAACAGATGAGTTTTAAAGAAGAAAATGCTTGATGAAAATCAGGAGGTAGGAATTCCCTGGTGTTCCAGTGGTTATGACTCCACACTCTCACTGCCAAGGGCCCGGGTTCAGTCCCTGGTTGGGAAACTAAGATCCCACAAGCCTCAAAGTGCGGACAAAAAAAAAAAAAAATTAAAACAAAAAGAAAAAGTCAGGAGGTAGGTCCCTATTTCTAAACATAAGAAAGACAATGGAATAAAATTTCTACTTCTACTTTATTTGTTCTTAAAAGAACACAGAAGCAAAATCTACTTTTCCTCATTAAGACATTTGAAACTAAAAACCACATTATTTTAAGTTCTATAGGTCACATTATTTTTTTTTCAGAGATCTTATAGCTTTTATTTTTATTTCAAAATTGTTTTTGAAGTATAGTTGATTTACAATGCTGTGTTAGTTTCTGCTATACAGCAAAGTGATTCAGTTATACATATAGGTCACATTGTATTTTTATCTGACTTTAGGTAAAATGAGGTCGGAGTCTAGAGAGAGAAAATGTAATTTTTATACTACACAATTCAAATTTCTTTCTATATGGATATATATATACTTTCTATATATACTTTTAGTTTGCTGTAAAGCATTCTCATCGCTACTGACGTTTTTAAAGTAAATAACTACTTTGGCTCCATCCAACTATTAATGTACAAGAAAATTGAAGAGACTTAATGTAGAGAAAAGCCGTTTGGGAAAGAATTTGCATTGTTTTATGCCTGCCAAATTTCATTATTTGCTCTAGATTTCTGTGTAATATAGTTTTTTGTGGGTTTTTTTAGGCAAAATTAGAACAGACAAGCAAATTTTTATGATACATATAATATTTAACTCAGACCTTATAATTCTAGAGTTGTGAAGTTCTGGATGAAACAAATTCTGATGAAGCTTAGAGAAATTAAAAGGGTGATGATAATAATAATAAATCTTTCCAAGTAAGGCATTAGAACTTGATTTTTTTAGTGCAGAAAATAAAAAATAAAAGACAGCATAGAATGATTGTCATGTATATACTGGTTTAAGATGATTGTCAAAAAAAGCTGGTGCTAATTGTTTCTTTTTTTTTTTTTCATTTTCACAGTTCATACCTCATTTTCATCACTGTAGATGTAGACCAGTTATTCTCAAAGTGTGTCCATTGATCCCTAGGTGTCCCAGAGACCTTTGTAGGACTCTACAAGGTCAAAAAATTCTTAAGACTCTTAAGATGTTATTTGCCTTTTTTACTCTCATTCCTTCCTTAGTGTGCAGTGGACTTTTCCTACATTTCCATGAGACGTCATGACATCATTGCTTTGATGACTAATGGAATATGTATTTGTTAACTGCTTATGTTAAATTTTTCTTAATTTTGAATATGATAAATATTGATAGATATAACTCACATAAAGTGAAGTTCTTTAAGAAATTCAACAATATTTAAGACTGGAAAAGGGGTCTTGAGACCAAAATATTTAAGAGCCACTGATTTATACCTGAGCACAATCGTAATTTTTCCAGTAGTCAATGATGTTGGATAATTAGAAATTTCTTATAAGATATAATTATCATATTTACCTCTAAATTTTCTATGCCTTTTATATCTTGTATTGCATTTTGGAACCCCTACTTTCTTTTCTTATTTAATGTTAATTTATAATTTAAGATTGAGAAATGATTTTTCATTTTATATTCTTATTTTAAATATTTTATTGGGCATGATTTAGATTAAGTTATGAGTATATGCCCATATTCATTATTTACATTTGCAGTTTGACTGGTAAGTTGTCTATCAGCTTTAATCAAGTTGTTCCTAGCCTAAGGTAGAATGAGAGGGAGTATTATAAAGGTAGAACACATTTTATTTGTGTCCTTATTTTGGTAATAAAATTTATTGGAAAAACACTTATAAATTATTTGTTTCTTTAATCTTCTATTGTATTATCTATATTAGTGGTCCTATACATTGCAAATTCATTGTTGGCATAAATAACAATAGAAACACTGAAGATCATCCCTTTGATTCACATTTGAGGAAATGTTAAGTTTCTTACCTCTTACCTAATCCTTGATCCTTAATTTCAAACATATAATTTATTGTGGTTTTAAATAATTAAAGCTAAAAAGGGAATTCTGAAAATATGTATTTATCATTTATAGAAAATATTATCTGAATTACCCATATTAGTTGCTCATCATTTATTCACATTCATACACACATTTTTTTTTGTTTGTTTTGTTTTATTTTGTTTTGTTTTACACATTTTTTTTTAATGAATAGTATGTTTCAGAAACTCTTCAAAGTGTTAGTGGTTCTGCAGTGGACACAATAGACAAAAATCACTGTCCCCATAAATCTCCCATCCTAGTAATATTTATCAAATAACCTATTAAAGATATGTGGGAAAAATTTGAAGAATGACAAAAGCATGAGTTTTGTCTATCTTCAACTGAAATTGAAGTAGAACATTGCAATTAGTCATTGACTTAAGTTTATATGCACAGACACCATCATGTTTAGAAATATTTGAAAATAGAATTATTTTGTTATTTGTTCTGGTATGATACTCTCTCGTAATCTTTACAGTTCACTGGGATATAACCAAGTATAGGAGGAGAGAAAGTGTTTGAAAATGATCTATTTGGAGAAGGTAGGAATATTAATGAAATTAATTAGAGATGTTGGATTCCATGGGACTGGACATGTGTTTACCAAATAATTGTCCAAATTCCTCTTTACTTTATGGCCATTGACTACATTTGAATGATATGAAAAATAATACTCAGTGTTTGTTGTAGCATTAGCCATGTAAATCAGTATGCTATTATTAATTTGTATTTGTTTACACTGGAAATGTCTCCTTTGGGCAGGATTTTTATATAAATCAAATTATTTGGATTCCATTTAAAGATAACATCCTTGTTATCTTAGTAGTCATGATCTAGGTGATCAGTTTCAGGATTATGTAAGAACATTTTTCAAAACTATTTTTATAATTACTTTCACTCAAACAGGATCGCTTGTTTTGCAAGCAAACTGTGAGAGACAATATTTCAATTTCAAAGGAGAATGAAATAAATATTGAAAAATTGAGTTGTCCTTGAAAAATTGAGGTAGATCTTGAGTATTTTTTTCTTTCAAATATGATTCTCCTTACTATTAATCTTTTAAAGGTAAAGATCTTTATTGTGTTATTTAAAGGTAAAGATCTTAATTGTGTTAACATTTTTTTAGCACAAAACCAAAACTGGGTCCTTGATAAACTCTTTTGTTCATTCTATTTATTTGGACATAGCTGGAATTATAAACTAAACTTATTAAAGATAAAATGAATTTACTTTCTTTATGATGTCTTAATCAAAGTTTTATCCATTATTTACTGTGAAATTTTTGTCCCCACTTAAACTGTATTTATTTTAAGTGTCTTCTTCCAAAATAAGTTCTGAACCAAAAACCCCTTTAGAAAGGAAGACACACTTAAAAGGCAACATTATAGCATAAATGCAAGAACTATAGTACACTGAGCCATCACATATTGTATTTATGTAAGAAAAAAATCCTCTCTACCATGTTATTAAGCTAACTTTACTCTCATTTCAAATACGTGTTGTATTGAAGTTAATATATATGCTATTACTTTTGTTCCCTAAAGTGATCATTGATCCTATTATCTGTAAAGCTAGGGAGTGAATGGGAGACACCTGCAAAATGGTGATGCATTAGAGCAAAAAAGATTGAACTGATTATTAAAATGTCTTGAAAAAGTCAGTTGTAAGGCCAATGTGGATGGAGAGGGAAGAGTGTGAACATGATCGAAAGCTTTACCACCTTTCCCAGGACATAGAAAATAGAGACATTGCATCTTCATCTCCCTCTCTGAAAGAAGCTACTATGTGAATAATATGGAATATCTTGAGGGACATATTTTGATTTTTATAAGTTTGTTATAACTTTCTGATATATATAATTATTTTTTCTGAGTGACCAAGCCCAGTGTTAGTGTTAATTTCATCCTTAATGACCCTGGGAGAGAGGTAATATAATCACCAATAGTTTTTCATTTAAAAAATATTTCAATGACACCCTTCCTTTCACTGACCCCACCCAAGGGTTTACAAAGGACTGATATATTGTAGAAATCAGAGTTGTCTATTTTAAATACTTTTATTTGTGAAAACTTGTAATTTGGAGGTATGTGAACACTCCTACAAATAGTTGTATTGAAGCTACCTATGCCATTCTTCTAGTGTCTTCCTTTAAATTTTTCCAAATTGGATAATGAATATACTGAAGTAAATTCAGAAAAAAGTATATTAAATTTCTAAAGTCCTTGTAAGATGCAACACCCCTTCTTAATACCTCTGGATGATAGTAGAAAACCTAAAAATGTTATTGCACATAATTCAAGGGGAAACCTACCAACAGTGCTGGTAACAGTGAAAACTAAAAGTTGATATTTTTCAGGGCTACATCCAAATCCAATCAACAAATGAGATA